CCTTAGGGCAAAGAGAAGGAAACTTTTTTGCAATTTAAAAATATTTTAAATAAATAATTTGTAAATCAAACACACATAAATAGGTGACCACGTATATATATACCCATATAACCATATCCTTTACACATTAAAAGAAGGTAATAGGAAATAGGAAATTATAATAATAAGGAGAAGCATAAATAAAAACTTTTATAATATACATAAGATATATCATAAAAAATAGAAAAAAGCCCTTAAAATATAAATAGAAAATTATGCAGACATAAAAATAATCACAGGAAATTAAAAAGCTCAAACTCAATATTCAAGCCATATGGTGCTATGGTGTTCAGCTTATAAACCCACTTCATTTCTTCCTTGCCAATATATTGGATATGGTTACCCCCTTCCAAGATTTCTTTATAGTTTGCATGCCAAGGAATGTTAAGCCACTGTTATCCATGTTATGGTACTTTTTAAAGTGTGCCTAGACGCTATGCTGTTTATACCCTTTCTTAATATTATAAACATGCTCAGCAATCTCAGCAATTATTTTAATAGCTCTATGGAACCATCCCAGATAAAAATGACCTTTTTTTTTTTTTTTATCTGGGAGGGTTCCATAGAGCTATTAAAATCACTTTTAAATAGGTTAAATGAAAATAATGACTGGGCTATTACATTAACCAGTCAATATATATAGAGGATAATGAAATTTTTTTTTTTTTTTTTTAAGTTGACGCCAATAGTTATGTGCTGTAGAGCAGTGGTCATTACACAACCTGGCTAAATAATATACCTAAGGGTCAATTCCAAAGAATTAGAAGGAACTGTACAAGTAAGGAAGTATATAAGGTACAATCGGGAATATTAGAAGATACATTTAAACAGAAAAATTATCCAGATGATCTTATTTTATTGCAAGAGAAAAGAGTAAAGAATTTAGTTAAGGTTATTTAATTGATAAAACAAAAATAATAAAAAATAATAGTGAAATAATACAATTGGTGTTTGACATTAATGAGAATTTTAGGGAAATTAAATATATAATTAATAAGCATTGCCACCTTCTAAAAAAGACAGGGAACTACAAGCACAATTACCAGACACACATTTTATTACCTTTAGAGGGGCTTCAAATTTTCAAAGTATTTTAACCCATATTCAAACTTGTCACGGTTCTGGTTCACTCCTTAGGTGATATTCCCTTGTGGAGTACCATTGATCACCACTCTCACTGTTTGGTGCTATTCCCTACTTCTAGGAACATTAAGCACTTCAACTGGCCCTTGCTACGCACATTTATAGTTTGGCCTCACCATTCCCTCAGGGTCAGAACACTATTTCTTTGTTCCTGTGGAAGTATAGTTCTTGCATCCTGTGAGTCTGGCCTTGCATCCTGTGACCTTATATCCTGTGACTCTTGACTGTGGCCTTGTATCCTGTGATTCTTGCCTTGAATCCTGTGAGTCTGGCCTTGCATCCTGTGGCCTTGTATCCTGTGAGTCTGGCCTTGCATCCTTTTGGCTCTAAATGTACATCTTGTTGCTCTGGTCCTGAGTCCTGTCTATCTCTCATGATACTTACCTGGTCCTGCCCAACGTACTCTATTTAACCTAAAAAGACTGTACCCTGATACTCTGCCTGCAATTCCTGCGCTAGACCTAGGTCTACTGTATATTTTATATTGGCATTGTAGTATTACTGTATTTTGTTTGGTTATCTTGTGTCATATTTGTTTCATAATATGCATATTTTTACACTCATTCCTTCTGATCAGGGGCGGACTGAGCACTCGGGCAAATCGGTCATGGACCGAGGGCCCGATGCTCTGGGGGGCCCGTCCGCTGTGCAGTGAAGTAACAGCTGGGCTGGGGAGTTAAACATCTCCCCAGCCAGCCTGCACACAGCAAGGGGCCCGCACGGCATTCCGCGGGCCCCTGTTACAAATACAATCTCCAAAATACAATTTGCCGGTCCCAGCAGGGCACACCGAGACACAGCTAATGGGGTCTTTCCAAAGACCCCACTAGGCTGGCTCTCGGTGTGCCTGATAGATAAACAGCAGGAGAGCTGTCTGTAACAGACCAGGCAGCTCCGTGCTGCTCATTAAGCAGGAAATGACATCATGTGTCACAAGTTCAATGAGCTGTGCGGAGCTGCCTGATCACTGTTACAAGCAGTACAGTATGTGATACAGCATGCCACAGGTAAGGGAAGGGAAAGATAAACAGGTTAATTTAAATTAAAACTCTGTATAATCAGCCCCTATAACCCCTCTGTCCCCTGTAGCCCACCTACCCCTGGACCCATTCTAATCCCTGCAGCCCCTATAACTCCTCTATAACTCCCCTATAACTCCCTGTAGCCCCTCTACCCCCTGTAGCCCACCTACCCCCTGTAGCCCACCTACCCCCTGGAGCCATTCTAACCCCTGTAGCCCACTTACCCCCTGAACCCAGTCTAACCCCTGCAGCCCCTATAATCCCTCCATCCCCTGTAGCCCACCTATCCCCTGGACCCATTCTAACCCCATGCAGCCCCTATAACCCCTCTATCCCCTGTAGCCCACCTACCCCCTGGACCCATTCTAACCCCATGCAGCCCCTATAACCCCTCTATCCCCTGTAGCCCACCTACCCCCTGGACCCATTCTAACCCCTACAGCCCCTATAACCCCTCTATCCCCTGTAGCCCACCTACCCCCTGGACCCATTCTAACCCCTGTAGCCCACCTACCCCTGGTCCCATTCTAATCCCTACAGCCCCTATAACCCCTCTATCCCCTGTAGCCCACCTACCCCCTGGACCCATTCTAAGCCCTGTAGCCCACCTAGCCCTTGACCCATTCTAGCCCCTATAACCCCTCTATCCCCAATAGCCCACCTACCCCCTGGACCTATTCTAACCCCTGCAGCACCTATAACCCCTCTATTCCCTGTAGCCCCCCTGCACCTATTTTAAGCCCTGCAGCCCCTATATCCCCTTTACCCCCTACAGCCCTTCTACCGCCTGCAGCTCCTCTACACCCTGCAGCCCCATACAACTCCCCTGCAGCCCCTATAACTCCTCTACTCCCTGCACCCTCTTACCCCCTGCAGCCCTTCTAAACCCTGCACCCCCTAAAACACATCTACCCCCTTCAGCCCTTCTAACCACTGCAGCCCCTCTACAGTCTATAAACCTCCTACAGCCTCTCTACTCTCAAGAGCCCTTAAAATACCTTACAGCCCATAAAATATCTGCATCCCCTAAAGGCCCTTACCTCATACAGACCGTCTACCCCCCATAGCCCCTCTATCCTCTTCAGCATCCCTACACGCTATAGCCCCTAAAATCCCCGCACACCCTACAGCTCTTATATCCCCTACAGCCCCTACATTCCCTGCATCAACTAAAGCCCAATGAACCCCATGCACAAACTACAGACAATTTCCCCTACACCCACTACTGCATATATTGCTCTCTGCACTTACCACAGCCCCTATCCCTCCCCTACATCCACAATAGCCCCTATAACCCCTACCCCCACTATAGGCTCTATCACTCCATGTCCCCACTAAAGCCCCTATAAACACTACAGCTTCTATGCCCCTGGCATCCACTGCAGCGTTTATCCCCCATGTCCCCTGCACATGCTACAGCCCCTATTACCCCTTGCACTCATTAAAGCCCCTATTAACCTCTGCACCCACTATGGCCTTTATAACCCTGCATCCTATGCTATGACATCGAACCGTCCCTACACCCACGTGAATACTACTATGATTTAGTTGTATAAATTACTAGTCTCCACCCCCCTCCCTTCCATTTTTGATTGTGGGTTCTTTTTATCCATTCAAATTTATTTAAATGGGCACTATAGACACCCAGACCTCTTCAGCTCATTGAAGTGGTCTGGGTACAGTGTCCCAGGTTCCTTAACCCCTTAAGGACACATGACATGTGTGACATGTCATGATTCCCTTTTATTCCAGAAGTTTGGTCCTCAAGGGTTTAAACCTGCAATGGCAATTATTGCAGTTTTTGAATAAACTACACTAATTACCTTTCAGGGTTAACTCCATCTCTAGTGGCTGTCTACCAGACAGCCACTAGAGACCTTTGCGTCGCTAGGAAACTTTTGGTCACCTAACTGACGCTGGACGTCCTTACGCTATGCATGAGGACATCTAGCTTCATACAAAACCCCACAGGAAAGCTTTATACAATGCTTTACTATGTGGGAATTCCTAATGTGAGTGCAGCGCCTGAACCAGCACCGAGGGACATCAGTGCTGGATTCAGGTAAGTGACAGAAGGGGTTTTTTATCTGTGGGTAACTATAGTGCCAGGAAAACTACTTTGTTTTTCTAGCACTATAGTTTCCTTTTAAATAAACTCTAATTCCACATATCCTGACACGACACACAAAGACATACATATATAATTACACCAGGGTTCACAGTGCATATACACACAAAAGCATACATTCACGTTACATGCACATACAATCAAATAAACGGTACATCTACTCAAGCACATATATTGATCTGCAGGGGGCCTGGGTCCTAGTTTTGCCCGGGGGCCCAAACCACTGTCAGTCCGTCCCTGCACAGGATGTGTGATTATCCAATCATAAGGTCAGAGTCTCTTTCAAATTTCTTATATTAATCACCTGTAGTAAAAAAGCTTACATTGGCTAAATTGCCTGTCAATCAATCAAAAAGCTTGATTATTATTGGTGGTTGGATGGTGCTGTATTTTTCAAATTGCCTATATTGATCACCTGTGGTAAAAAAGCTTGCATTGGCTGAATTGCCTATCAATCAGTTAAAAAACTTATTCTATTGGTGGTTGGATAGGGCTATCTTTCTCAAAAAAATTTTTATACTGATCACCTGTGGTAAAAAGGCTTTCATTGGCTGAATTGCCTGTCAATCAATTAAAAAACTTGATTAGAACAAATTCTATTGGTGATTGGATGGGGCTGTCATGTATAACACCCATTCAGGGCAGTGGTTGGCGGAAGTGACATCACTTCCGCCCTCCAACATCTTCCCAAATGTCATTGTTAATAATTTTATTTTTTTATTTTATTTTTTATTTTTTTTTTATTAACAATGACATTTGGGAAGATGTTGGAGGGCGGAAGTGATGTCACTTCCGCCAACCACTGCCCTGAATGGGTGCTATACATGATAGCCCCATCCAATCACCAATAGAATTTGTTCTAATCAAGTTTTTTAATTGATTGACAGGCAATTCAGCCAATGAAAGCCTTTTTACCACAGGTGATCAGTATAAAAATTTTTTTGAGAAAGACAGCCCTATCCATCCACCAATAGAATAAGTTTTTTAACTGATTGACAGGCAATTCAGCCAATGCAAGCTTTTTTACCACAGGTGATCAATATAGGAAATTTGAAAAATACAGCACCATCCAACCACCAATAATAATCAAGCTTTTTGATTGATTGACAGGCAATTTAGCCAATGTAAGCTTTTTTACTACAGGTGATCAATATAAGAAATTTGAAAGAGACTCTGATCTTATGATTGGACAATCACACATCATGTGACCTCAAAGGGAGGATCCGAATCAACTTTAGAGCACTTATAAAGTGGAAGATTCCTGAGGCTACTTCACAGCTACTGAGGAAGCTCATACAAGAGTGAAACGCGTTTAGCTGGAGTTTGGACTTTTATACTTGGACTTTCCATCATTTAGCTTATGTGCTTTTGAGAAGTCTAAATATTGTTTTTATTTATTTTTTTATCTCTACAATAAATTGTTATTTTTTTTTTATATATTAGTCCATATAGTCCTTTCTAGCCTCCAGGAACACCATGTGGGGAATGCTATCCCAATAAATTAGCATATTGCCAACAAACCTCAGAGCCAGGAATTCAAGGCTCTGTCTAAGGTGAGCATATCTATTACTATCTTACTATATTGTATACACCATCTGTACAATACCACCTATGAGGTTCTCTCTCTCTGTTTGTTCCATATCTTCGGGAGAATATCGTTTGGGATAAAGGGGTGTGTTGCTGCCTCAAGAGCAAGAAGGAGTCACTTACGGAGCCAATAGCTTATAGGCTCCAACCCACGTGAGTGGTTTCAACCAATTGCTACCATTATTCATTTTTTATTTTTTGTAAACCATCTGCACTATATTTTCTCTTTTTGTTGTTTTACTTTGTATGTACATTTGGACACATTGTATCACTATGTTGGAGGGGTGAGTATACCCCCTCATTATTTATATATATATTCAATATAGCGCTCCACTTGCTGGTATATTGTTTATACCTTTTTTTCTTGTGTGAACTCTTGCCTGGCCAAAGTGTTCTTTACATAGCCCTACTACGCATGCACAGCAGAAACATATCTAATAATGCACCCACACTGCACTGGCTGGAGACAGGTCCCTGATGTCCTTGTATGCAGGGATTCCATATTCAGAACTGTCCAATTCAAATGGGTACAATTAGGGAGCCTGGTAAATCATAGTTCTGATGGCATCATGATGTAATGGTAAATAATTAGCAAGGGCAGGGAATTGGTCTTCTAAATCAAATGATGAATTGATGTAGCAAAATTAAAGCAAATACTGCTAGTGGAGCTGTATCAGTACCCTGAAAATAATGTTACTTTGGTAAGTTTACATATCACACAGAATACAATTACAACATATGAAAGAACAGGACAGAGATCAGCATATAATTTGCATGAGATCTCTGAATCTCTTGCTTACATGGTCTTTGAACAAGATTCCCTTCTCTTGATAGTGATTAGAAAGCCTTTTGCACTTTTTCATCCACACACACTTATATATATATATATACATATATATATATATATATATATATATATATATATATATATATATATATATATATATATATATACACACCTATTTTTTTTTAATATGCACCTACTTTTTTAAAATTTTATATAAAAAGTTATGACTACTTTGTCGAACTTTGTCAACGGGTGGAACTTATGTTCCATTTGAATTGCTAATTTTCATACAATCCATCAGTCAAAGAATTCCACAAAAAGTTGTTCTTTAAGCTCTTCTGAGCACTCAATATAAATATAAATACGCTGCAGCTGTATGACTAAAAGTGACTTTTGCAGGTAAGGCTAATTTCCATAATGCTGAAATCCTTTTTTTTATTTATTTTTTTATTTAAAATATGTACAGGGTTTTTAAATCAAGTCAATATGTGTTCCCATTCAATGCCCATGAGACATTGTCAGAAATAGCTAGGCTGCTATTTTTGTTTTCCTCGTACAGATATATATATATTTAAAATTTTTATTTTACTACTGTTTGGTTCATTGCCTCAGATATCTAGTCCAAATCTATTTTTTCAGTACATTTTCACATTAATTGTATACGAATGCGCCTTTGAATTAGAATGTGAAATTAAAGGGACACTATAGCGTTAGGAATACAAACATCAATTTTAAGGCTGTTCCTCACCCTATGCAGGGGTCCTCCCCAGCCTTACAATGGTTAAAAAAAACTTGAACTTACCTTACAACCTACAGCTTCCAGGCCTTTGTGCTGCTGCACCGCACAATTGAAGGTCCCAGCTAATCCAATGCTTTCCCTTAGGGAAGCATTGGGGACTAGTGCTTATGCTTTTCAAAGCACTGTGCTGCCCAATCAAATGTCCTCCTATAAGAGTAATTTAATCTATAATTGAGTTTTACTCAGTTATAGCTGTGGAAGCAGGAAGACAGCCCTACAATGAAAACATGGTGATATAGGTGCATATTGAGTCCATTTAAAGCAAAGAATCTCTGAAAACAGGAAAACAAAGAAAAATGACAATCACTTGGCAACAATGTAAAACAAAACAACAACAAAAACAACAACACAAAGCTAAATGTTTAAAATGACTCCGTCATCACCATTGTATAGCATGATAAAAACTGTCTACACATTGTGTTTTTAGTCTGTTCAAAAACATTTTCCTATTAAAATTAAATTAAAGATTGCCAACTAGCCTTAGGTGTCTAGGGCCCAAAGCATTTCCTAGAATGGAAACTAAGTGTTACGTTTTGATCTACTCTACAAATCCCAGAATTTGATCTGCTGCTGGCTGACATTTTTAGCAATAACTTTCTTTCAGGGTTGGAAAATGGTGATCAAGAAAACAATGATTACTCAGTTAAACTTACTATAGATCAGTTAGTGGAAATAATATTAAAGGAACACTGTATTCAACATAACCACAAATTGAAGTTCCTTTGGCGTCTGGAGTCCATGAACATTGGGTCCTGCATCATTGATAGATAGATTCAAAATCGCTGTTAAGTATACAGTTGATTAGACCAAATTGGAGGAGGGATGACCTTATTAGGAGAATGGGATAATGTGAGATGCGCTGGATTTTTAACTTAGAAACTTTACTTCCAAAAGGACTTAATGGGGATTTTGAATTATGCCACTTTTTATGAATCTCTTTGTAATTAATTAATTATTTTTTTACTAACAATTTTTACTGTTTTTTTTCTCTTTTATATTTATTTTTATATGTATCTTTATATGCATATAAATATATAATTTGATCATCAAATAAGGCACTTTATTCACTTTATGTGTTACATTTTGGAATATTTAGAATGATTCTGCTGCATCAGTTGTCCGTAGTTAAATCTTAATATAAAGTAATCCATATGTTTTTACTCTAAGTGTACTGATATATTCAGGTTTTATTCGAGAATGTTATACCTTCGTCTTTCAAGATGTATAGCAGAAACAGTGTCAATAATTGGGTTTTATGTATCTAGTAGCAGATAACGTTTCACTAATATATATTTCTATGTGTTCTATTCTATAATCCTCCTAACGAGTGAATCCGGATAACGATACCAGAAAGCTGTCCGTTCTGGTAGACAGTAGTTCATACTACAAGGAAAAGAACTACTGTTCCCTGCATGAATATGGTAACGGGGCCCGAAAGAAAAATTCATTACCAACTATTTTCGTCCGAGAACCGATACTTGGGAACATCCCAACAGGTTCACCCCTCTATACCAAGATTCACCACACAAGAGGGTGAGAATAGAGGACTAGATCAGAGTCTTAGTCCTGCCACCCTTACCAATGAGGAGGAAAGGAGTAGAGGTATTTTTAATTTAACTGGAATTCCACTTACATCTGAGGAGATAGACCTACTCTCGAAAGGGATGAAATTTGCCCCTAATAAAAAGGCGAATGACTTTGACCTTTATATAGATCTTAAAAAGTTTATACGCTCTCTAACCATAAAAAGACATTTCCTCCTACATCCATCTACCACTGAGAGGGAAATAGATACTGTATCTGAAAGGGAAGACTATAGGTTTCAACCTAAATCTCATTTTTTTCCGGTTCAAAGTAAGGGCCCCTTCTTAGAAACTTTTGAACATATGGTTGATCAGGCTTTCCAATCTATTGCTAAAAAGAGAAAAAGTGGATCATGCCCCTTTAATCTAACAAAAAGGGAAGAAGCGACTTTAAAACATCTTATGGAAAGAGAGGACCTGGTGATCAGGGAGGCTGATAAGGGAGGAGGTATTGTGTTGATGACTATGTCTTATTATTTGAAGGAATCCCTTAATATTTTAGGGGATAAAAAAACTTATATTACTCTGCAGAATAACCCTATGCCATTGTATAATTTAGAACTAAAAGAAATTTTGACTGCGGCTAGAGACAATGGAATCATATCTTTAAAAAACTTTGATTTCTTATTTCAAAAAAGTCCAGTGATTCCGATTTTTTATTTCCTCCCAAAAACTCATAAACGCCTCCCTGATCCACCAGGTCGCCCTATTATCAGTGGAGTTAACTCGCTCACTGCTAATCTGTCCGCGTATGTGGACTCTTTCCTTCAAAAGTACGCCCAAGGGGCACCCTCTTTTATACGGGATACCAAGTCTTTTTTACAAGAACTGGACAGCATTGAGTGGGACCCTGAATACAGTTGGGCCACGCTAGACGTGACCTCTCTGTATACGGTAATTAGTCATTGTTTAGGATTGGAGTCTCTTGATTACTATATGTCCCAAGATCAGGACCTATCTCAAGGTCAAAAGGAATTTATATTGACCTCAGTAAAATTTATTTTGGAACATAATTTTTTCTTT